CTCCATCAGGAACCTCTCAGGGTCCATCAGTCGCCTGGGACGGAACCATCTAGGCGGTTCCGTCTCCCTGCGGCGAGGGGGGGCGGTCCGGAAGCCCAGCTTTAGGAGAGAATGATCTGACCATGACAAGGGCTCAACCACTATCTCCCCTATTGTCAGATCACTCTGCCACTGGCCAGAGACAAAAACCAGATCTAGTTCCCATAACACTGTTGATGCCTAAGGATGTCTAACCATGTAGCGGGACTATATTACTATTATCCTTCTCATCTTTCCTATTACTTACTCCTGTCAGTAATTTATGACTATCACTTTGTTGGCCATGAATTCATGTAGACCTAACCCTAACACTAGAATAATTTTCATTGGCAATGAGACTTTCCAATGTATTTTAATGTGGTCCACAATCAACTCCAAAAGAAAAGCTGTCAACTTCTCTTTTCTTACAAAATCACTAAGAATCTCCCTCTAGCATTAGCTTTTGGGCATGACTCCAAGTACACCTAACCCTAACCCTAGATTCATTATCATTGGCAATGGGAGTTTCCCATGTATTTTACTGTGGTCCACAAACAATTCCGAATGAAAAGCTGTCAACATCTCTTTCCATAGAAAACTGCTAAGAAACTATCCCTAACATTAGCTTTTGGGCATAACTCCAATTAGACCTAACTCTAGATTCATTTTCATTGACAATGGCATTTTCCCATGTATTTTACTGTGATCAGCAAACAACTCTGAATGAAAAGCTATCAATGTCACATTCCTTAGAAAACTACTAATAATCTATCCCTAGCATTAATTTTTGGCTATGACTTAAAGCAGATCTAACCCTAATCTTAACCCTAACCATAAACCTAGATTCATTTTCATTGCCAATGGGATTTTCCCATGTATTTTACTGATGTCAACAAACAACTCTGAACGAAAAGATGTCAATGTTACTTTAATAAGTCTCTAAGAATCTATTCCTAGCATTAATTTTTGGTCTTGTCTCTAAGTAAACCTAACCCTAATGCTAACCCTATCCCTTGATTCATTTTCATTGGCAATGAGATTTTCCAATTTATTTTACTGTTGTCCACAATCAATTCCGAATAAAAAGCTGTCAACATCTCTTTCCTTAGAAAATCCCTAAGAATCTATCTATAGCATAAGTTTTTGGCCATGTCTCCAAGTAAATCTAACCCTAACCCTAACGAATCTACGTTTCTATTATACTATAATAGATGTTATAAAGGATAATATATTTTTATTATAAGAAAAGGTAAGGTAAAATGAACGGAGGAGGAATAAAAGTGTTCGAACGATTGGACTACCGTACGACAGAAAATATAGAGAGTGTTCTCTTTGACCCTTTTCATCGTCTCGACGGAACGGGTCGACTTGATGTAGTGTCTGTTACAGAGGGATATATTTGCAATGTAGCTCTGATATCAACATTAATTAAGAAGTACAAATTTGTCTGAATGCAAGGGCTGTTTTGCTAGATGTTATCATTTATACTGAAGGGGATACAAAACCTCATGCAGTAACACACTCTCAGTGTCTTTGCTAGCTTGGAGAGGCACCTGCCTTTGGTAACTTTGCAATAAATGGCACCTGAGCATCTATTTGCAAAGATTGGAAGATTAAATCCAGCCTACCTTTCCTCATTTTCTAAACAAATTATCAGTATGGCTAATGTTGACAGTGCTGGCCTTCCTATCTGGGAAACAAGAGGCAGGTTCCTCAATAATTAAAACATATTAGTAGAAATAATTAAAAATTGTATAACTACCTGTTACTCAGCAGAGAACTCAGGACCATTAAGCTGTCCTCCATCATTGTGATAATTTCAGAAGATTCTGTTCCCTTGAGAAGTAGTTCTCCTCTTCCTTTGAATGCTGAAAAGCTCAGGACCTGATATGCCCAGCTATCTACTACTTGCGCCAATTTAGCTTCAATATCTTTCTCTTTAATAGCAGATATACAGATGTCCTGTCCCGAAAAGAAATACCCTTGAGCTATGCAAAACACAAGTGTGTGTATCTCTAAAGCAAGTTATAAAAACATGGCAAGAAATCTAAACCTTATTTCATGGAAAAATGTCATGCTGGAACAGAAGAAGCACCTTCTTTAACTGGAGGAAAATATGAATTGATTAAAGAGGTATCCCTAAGGAAAAAAGCACTTGCTTATATAGGCCAACGAAAATACCAAGAAGCACTTGGGAATGGGGGAAAAGCTGCTTGACACCTGTGACCCCAGATCAATAAAAACAAGAAAAGGCAATGAAAGGAAGGATGCTGAAGCCATAAATTGACTTTGTGTGCTTCAGACAACCTGATCTCCAGAAAGTGATGATCAGTTGTAAAATAAAAATACTGCACAGACATTCCTGAGGCAGAGAGGATCATTTTAACTATATCACTATATAGAGTTACTTTGAGAATAAGATGGGTAGTACCTAAATAAATAATAAACTATCTCAGGAATTTATAAGATCCTTGACATATGGGTAGTTTACAACTGAGGAGTAAAAATGGTGATATCTTCATGTTAATCCAAATATGCAGTTCTGTATTACTGTTGTAGACTGCTTTAAACATAATAGATTTCTATTTTGGTAAAAAAAAAAGTTACTAAACTTTACTATACCTAAAGGATAATTTAGGAAAACATTTCAAAAGTCTAATCTCAGGGAGAGTTTTGTGATGTACCTCTGAAAGTTTTAAGTATGTCTGGTAAAGTATTAATTGACAGCTTAATGAAACCAGAACCACACAAGATAATTTTTGAACATCAAGCAATCATTCAAACATTGTGTTTTTCATGACAAATACAACAATTTCTAAATGCATACTTTAAATATATCTATTTAAAGAATATTTTGCATGCTGTCTATTAGGCCCCACAATGTGGTTTACAATAGGAACAATGTTAATTGTGATATACCTCTTATACCTTGAGCAATCAGATTTTGATTGATGGGACTGAATTTCATGATTTCCGTTATGTATTTTCAATCCAACTATTTTACTTTTATTTTTTTGTTCCTTCAAGTCTAATCTACCTGGCCTAATCTCTGCAGTTTTATTGTCAAGATTTCATTAGTGATTTGTCACTGTCTGCTTCCTAGGTCTGAGAGAGAATGACTGGATCACGGTCACCCAGCTGGTTTTGTGTCTAAGGTAGGACTAGAATTCGCCTCTTCTGGGTTCTAGTCTGGTGCCTTGGCTACTACAAAAAACTGGCTCTCCTATCGGGCATTAGGGGATTTGAGACATTTTATTATTTATCAAACTTAGGCACCACTCATCTCACTAATTCCGGGCTTATCAACAGCCTTTGAGTTGAAAATATCGTTATGAACAAATATAACAATGTTTTAAAAAGTAGAAATGATGAACATATAAAATGGAAGTTTGCACAAGTCATTCATGTAGAAAAATGTGACATGTTGATACAGCTAAGTTCTTAGGAGAACTTAAAACATTAACATTACGCCTTAAAATATGGGCTTTACTGAGGCAGGAAGGTGAGTTTCATGGAAACTCAACTTTTTTGCCTTCATTTTTTGCCCTTTTTTGTTGTACTAACAATAATGACAGTTTTACTTCCTGTTGCTATTGAAGTCATTTTGCATTAATCTCAGTCCTTTGGATATTATAGTAATGTAAGATACAACATCAACAGTTCCAGTGACTCACAGCAAAAATGCAAAAAAAGCAAAAACCATTCTATCTGAGAGCCACATTCATTTTACGAGTTTGCATACTTTTTGATAGGTCAAATCAATCACTGGGCTCAAATATTAAAATATGTAATTTATAAGAATACCTATAAATGGAATGGAAATGGAAAAAAAACCCCTCCATTATAACTTATTTCCTATTAGGCACGCTAAGCCTACACATTATGTATTATCATCCTCCATATGTGTATGTGTGTGTGTATGTGTTAAATCTGAATTGCTAACAAAGAGTTAAAGGGAAGCTGGTATAGCTATTTCAAGCTCCTTAGCCTCTCATCAGCCAGAAAAAAGATTTGGGCAGACCGGATGCATCATAAAAAAACACTTAAGACACACACACACACACACAAAATGTGTGTGTGTGTGTGTGTACACACAAATCTTTGTGTTTAGTGTGTGTGTGTTTATTTATTTATAAAATTTGTTTGCTACCCATCTCATATCCAACAACTCTGTGCGGCTTACAACATAAAAACTTTGAAAAATATTAAAATCACCCATTGTAAAAACTACAGCAGATAAAAACATTTGTGTGTTCCCTGATGTTAAATATAAAATGCAGCAATAGGGAAGGCTACCTCAATATCATCCTTATGCTTGAGAAGTGGCGCTTCCATGATATTCCGAAGGCAAAAGGAATCAGATTCCACATCAAATGGGTGCCCAGTTGTTTCAGAAATTCTGTTCCAATGTCTCAGTTTCATAGCCTTGTTGGTCATCATTTCCAGAAGTGGACAAGACTCACTAAAATCATCTATTCGTTTTTTAAGATCTAAATATGCTTGCCAGTCTTTAAGCCCTTTAGGTAGTTTACGGCACCTTTCATTAGAAAAAAAGTAATAAAAATACTATTCTAAAAGAAAAAAGGAAGAATGAAGAGAAAAGTAGCAACTATCTGAACAAAAATGAAATCCCGTATGAAATAATCTAAAAGCATGCCTTAAAAATTACAGCTTTGTGCATTGCATCTTAAAGGAGGGCAGATTTAGCCTACAGAAACTCAGTGACTGCATACTACTCTTTCCTTCCAAATAGGCAATTTCCCTCAATTTGAACCATGTGTTACTTTATTTAGAAAACCTCAGAAGGAATTCCATGAGTGGTCCAATGCTAGCCTTTGACATAAATAAATCTATCATGGAAAAGGATATAGAATTATCAGAAATTAGCTTAAAGTTAAAGAAATAGAGTACAGGTTATATAGAAAGCAATCTCACCTGTTTTGAAACTCCAAAAGTTCAGCATTGATTTTTTCAATATCAACATCTCCCCAAAGAATTTCAAAATAGCCACTTATATTGTTCATCACAGTATCATACAAACCATATAATTTCTGAAGCAAACTCAACTCTTTCCTGTAGGAGAAAAAGGGACAAGATTAATTATAGTAAAACTATTAGCATTCCTTCTGTTTATACAATAATGTGATTAGAAAAGTATAGGCAATTCTGAAATTGTAATCTTAGGAAGTGTAGCATAAAAATGTAAATACTAAATCATAACTGATTCAAATTCAGATTTTTGAAAATGTGCTTTACTGGATTTTTGGAGACATTTCATAACAGCAAGATTTTAAGAGTGGTTAGGTTGGGACATACTAAAACCCTAGTAGAACATCATGACTGAATGAGGATCTGAACTGAGGTTTCTCCAATGTTCTGTGATAAAATTAAAAATCTCTTTTTTATGACCCTGTAGCTCTTATTATTTTATACTTTTATAATGATTGTTCTTAATATACTTTTTGGTTTATTTGTTTGTTATATGTTACCCAGAGACATTTCTTGGGAGATGGGAGGCCATATAAATTTGATAAATAAATTATTCTTGATTTATTCTAGCTGGGATTCATATCCACTGCATTTGAGATCACAAACCTGGAGAAATGACACTGCATGCTACTGAGATTCCAATAGAAGGAAGAGAAGGAAGGAAGGAAGGGAGGGAGGGAGGGAGGGAGGAAGGAAGGAAGGAAGGAAGGAAGGAAGGAAGGAAGGAAGGAAGGAAGGAAGGAAGGAAGGAAGATGAATATGCTATATGTCAGGCATGTCAAACTGCCGGCCTGCGTGCCAGATGCATCATACTGAAACCGTGTCCACCCCATTGCCGGCAATGGGGAAAAAGTCACGATATGTCATGCGATGTCACATGACATTGCGAGTTTGACATGCCTGCTATATGTCAGAGAAAAATACAGGGAAAGGTAAAAAAAGTAAAAAAAAAATCTCACTTCACAGAATTTAAACCTATCTCAATCTTTCAATTTGACTTTATTATCTTATTTCCAGCATGCCAGATGGAATTTTAGTTAAGTAACAGTTCTTTATATTCTATTTTTACTCTTCCAAACAAGACTTTTGCTGTCCAACCTATTGTCAGAGATGATATCTATGGACAAATGGAGCTGGTGTGATGGACTACAGTGAAGTTGCAGTTTCCCAGGAAGAAGGAGAATGAGACAAGAGGTAGCACAGCCCAGAGCTGGAGGAGACAGAGTATTAGGATAGCCACTCACTAGAATCTCCAAGGGTATATCTGTTAGGGTGTGAGTAGTAAGGATTTAGAATCCAATCTGGCTCAGTCACCGGGACAAAGATTTTGTCTTCCAAGCTTTCAGACTCGTGCTGGAGCCCATCTTCAGGGAACTTCTCTCTAGCAGAGTGTGTGCTGTCTCTGTGTGGTATTTATATGGGCATGTTGAATATGTTTTTTTTTAGATGCTGATTGGGATAAGTTGATGGCTGGCTTCTAAGTCGTTGGCTGTTGTTTGCTTCTGCTGGCCAGCCCTTGCCTTCTAAGTACTTGATATGCTGGTGGTAAATCAGCATTCCTGTTGACTGACGAGGGGCCTGTTTCCCAGGTTTCAATCACTTCCCTGGCTGTTTTTGTGCCAGCTGTCCAACATTGTAAATGCAATTGTAAAGATCGCTTGGAGGTGGGAGATACTTTCAATGTAATCTATCAAATCCCCTGCATGGATTGTCCCTGTGACTATGTAGGACAGATGGGGAGGAAGCTAACCACCTGTTTGGAAGAACACAAGCGAGCGGTCAGATGGTACCCAAACTCATTGGTACCATCACATTGCAATGAACAAGGACACACATTCAATTTAGCAGCTACTAAGATTGTTGGATAAACAGGCACAAAAAGAGCCAGGGAAGTGATTGAAGTCTGTGAAACAGGCTCCTCACTAGTCAACAGGAGTACTGATTTACCACCAGCACATCAAGTACTTAGAAGGCAAGGGCTGGGCAGCACAAGCAAATGACAGCCAACAACTTAAAAGCCAGCCATCAACACCATCCCAAACAGCATCTAAAAAACCCACATAAAACAAACACCATATAAATACCACACAGAGAATAGCACACACTCTGCTAGAGAGAGGTTCCCTAAAGATGGGCCCCAGCATTCATCCAAAAGCTTGGAAGACAAAGCCTCTGGTCCCGGTGATCGATCCAGATTGCATCCTGCAGCATTATCCTGGGACATGTATATTTGCCTTCATTAGTAAGGGTTTAATCTGGCAAGATTCTGTCCATTGTGTATAAGCAAATAAAGAACTCTGACTGGATTGTTCTACATCATTCTTGGCCAAGCCTGACATCTATCTGTCCATTATCAAGAAAACTGTATGAAAACTAACTGGAATGGGATAAAACTTTTGGATAAGAAGGCAATAAAAGAAAGATGCTGTTTGAAACTTGATTCAATGCAACCAATGAGAAAAACATCAGAAAAAAATTATTGAAGAAGTTGGACAGGGACTCCGAATTTTGCCAATTATTCCTCCCTTATGTCCCCCTTCATGCATATTAATCAGTGTTTCTCAACTTTAGCAACCTTAAGATGTGTGGCCCGAGGAATCCTAGGAGTTGAAGTTCACACATTTTAAATTTGCTGAGGTTGAAAAATACTGACCTAGAGCAGCATCACTGCAAAGAGGTTAGAAAGATTTATAGAAACTATGCTTTGCATGGTTTTTCTAGTTGGTTATCTCTGTATCCCTTAATACCTATTTTCTGTCATCATAGATACCTTTTTTGATTCTGCTACCATATTTACCACAGAGGTGGTCCCTTAATCCTTTTTTCATTGTTTTTATGATACTTTTTGTTCTGCCAGTTTGTGAGAGACACAGTTTTGAAAACTGTATTAGGGCCCCAGTATAGACTATAGTATAGTACTGGTAGCTACAATTTAGTACAAATGTCTTTTTCCCAGTCTTGTCTTTCAGTAAAACCTTAACTATTCCAGCAGGTAGAACAATTTTTCAGTTACCTGATTTTATGCAAAACTTCATAGTCTGTGACAGGCAATCCAAATAGCTGCTCACCAGATGAATATGTAATAAACTTCCTCCAGAGCTCATCAAAATTGGCCTAATAAATAAAAATATATAGGAGTTAAGAGTTTAGATCATTCACAGATAATCTTTTTTTCTTTTTTCTGGCTAACATTTTGATAGCTGAATATCAGTGGTGTGCAGAACCAAATGAGAAATAGATGGGGCCACTCACACACTCTTATACACATTTACAGATAACACAAATTTATGCAAAATTTGCCTTATATAAATGTTTGTGCCACCAAATAAATCATAAGTTCAATTCCTGTTGACTACATAGACATAGCCATGACATTTACTTGGCAATGTTCTTTAAGTAGTTTATTACTGCCTTTTCCAAGTATGTTTTATGCTCCAGTCTACTCATGGTCTTGGAGTTCTCTAGTGATCTTCCACCCAACTTCGAAACAGACCTAACATCCTGCGGTGGAATCTCCAGCTATAAATGGGGGAGGAGGGAGTTTAGATTAGGAAGTGACACAGATCTGACCTCCCCCCCAAAAAAACAAAAAAAAAAACCCCAAATGGTGAAGTCCTTATCTGGCTGTTTCCAAGACAATGCAGTGTCTGGTGAGATCCTTGTAAATAACTTAGCAACAATAAAGAAGCAACTCTGATCAGCTCACAGTACCATTCTGGTTCCTTGTGCCTGTTCTTGGGAACAGCCAGATAAAGACTTCAGGGATTGCGGGGGGGGGGGGGAATCAGGTACACATAAAAAGAGAAAAGAGCATACTGTATATAGGGATGAAACCATACCCCAAACCTTCTTGCTAATATGATATATATTTGGTTATCTTGTTGTCCAGTAGAAGACCTTATACTTCACAAAGTTAAATAGCTATGCAAAATTCAGGCTAGCCCAACGGCTCTCCAAGTGCCATGTAAAAGGTGAACCTCAAAATTATTATAATAGAAAATAAAGTATCAAAAAATATGATTGCATAGACAGTGATAAATGGAAAGCAAAATACATTTAGCAATAAATGTACCCATGTATTAACTGTCAGATTTGCTGCAATATTTTTATTAAATTGAGATATACCTAATTGGTTTGTAACTGCTAAAATGGAACAAATCGGACACAAAAAACCAACTAACCTTATTGTAGCTTCAGAACACACAATATACAAAATGTCAGTTAATTCAGCTGCACAAAATAATGTTATTTTTTATTTAAAAGGTGCATTAATAATTTTTATAGCTTCCAAGATAAAACAGAATTTTGAAAATCAACATTCAATAGAATATAAATTGAAATAATTTCCTTTTCAGAGAGCTGATAGATATCATGCTACTCAATTTAACATTCAATGAAATTTTACCTGAAATATCTGTAATCTATTGCTAGCTTCTTGAGGTGGTGTATTTGGAACCATTGGTCCTTCCTAAAACACACAAAATGTATCAAAACTAGTTATTTGATAAGATTAAATCCTACATTATATTCTTTCAGCATAGACATTTTACAATCACTAGGATGTGGAAATTTAATATTATAGGCCGGTGGTGGCGAACCTATGGCACGCGTGCCACAGGTGGCACGCAGAGCCCTCTCTGTGGGCACACACGCTGTCGCCCCAGTCCTAAGCCTTCAGTTGGGTTTTATAAAACCTTTTTGCTTTAGGCCTTCACCACCGTGTGCAAAAAAACACGGTTAAATCAATCAATCAACTTCTCGCGGGGAAAAAAACAGATCTCGCAAAATTGGAATTGATTGATTGAACTTTTAAGTCCCACCCAGTCTGCCATTACCACCGCAGCCACGCCCACCCAATGGGCCACACCCACCCAATGGGCCACCCCACCCGGCACCCAACAATATTTAAGTGTGTTTTGGGTTGCAGTTTGGGCACTCGGTCTCTAAAAGGTTCGCCATCACTGTTATAGGCCATTATGCTTTATATTATTTGTGTACTTGGTTACAGCTGTGTAGCACTTTCAAAGCCATTATATGATCTGGAGAAAGGTTGTAGCTACTTTAAACGATGTTTGACAGAAACAGTGCATGTTGTACAGTATGTCATGTTGTAAAGTACAGTTTGAGAATTAAATTTGAAGTGCTTCAAAGCTCTACTAGGTATAATTATTTTTCCTTACATATTTGTGGAACAACAGTATCAAAAGCTTTTGTTTTTTAATTTGATTACCTCATTCATATCAGATTTTAATGCAGCCATCACTGACACCACAAGTTTTGTAAACAGTGATTCAAGGATAAACATTGATAAGGTAGCTTTATTTATTGCAAAAACTAGAAATGCTGACTATGAATAAATCTAACAATTGCCAAGACCGAAATCCAATCCATATTTATAGTAGAAGCAAAAGCAAATTTGAGGTCTCTTCCTCCCACCTATGCTCCCTATTAAGACCTAAGATCTTCCCACTTGGAACTGGGAAGAACAGATTTCCCTTATCCTTTGTTATGGTAATGAATCATTTTGATTTCCAGCTCTCTACATTTGACCTTAACAGGTACTCAAAATTCCTGTTAGGCCCAGAAAGAATTAAAATTTATATTTTTAATGAATCTTTGTATATTGCTGCTTGGTATTTCAGTTAGGCCCCAATAAGTTATTGGAGTTATTAATAACTCAATAAATTATTATTGTTGGATTAAGTTTTCTTCAATCTATGGGATTGAGTTCTAGTCTTAAAGTAATTAGATTTCAAGCATTTGGAGAACTTAACAATTTAGTATTTTAAATCTCTAGAAGTAAATATTCTTTGGTTAAAACAGTGCTATACCAGCTGTAGTTTCTTCACAACTCCCATATAAATAAAGTTACCATCTCATATGCTACTTCATAATTTGACACATCTTCACGGAAAACTTCAACTGCCTCCAGAAGCTGACCCTTAAACTTGGGCTGGACTTGAATTAGTTCATCCTGGACACTAGCCTGAAATAGAAATAAATATCTGTAATAAGAATGAAAAATAGTTATGATTATAATTTATATATGTTTTCCCAAATCTAGAGACTCAGTAGATTATTATTAATTTTATTTAAATACAGATCTGTGAGAACAGAAATGATCCAGAATATACCTATTGGCAACATTTAAGAAAAATAAGGGATGTGGGAATGCAAAAAAAAAAAAAAAAAA